TTTGTAACTGCTGTAGCCACACGATCCCGAAACTCGCTTTCGTTTACGACGATTATACAGCAGGGGACATTGGGGAAATGAGTTGAAACAAACTCGGGTTGATCATCCTCTTCATCATCATCTGACGGCGTTCCCTCGGAATTCTTGTAGCAATACGCGTTTGATATTTGGAGCATCTCCTGGATGGTGTTGTTGCTGTGATCCTTGACCACTTGGAATAACTGTTTTGCAGCTTTTTCCATTTCATTATTGCTATCGGATGATTTTCGCACTCGAATTCGCGATACCTCTGCTTCTAATTCTTCGTTGTGAATGGTGGAAAACAAGATCTTCTCGTTGCAAGTTGCGCATTCCTTGTACACGACGAAGTAGGCAATCGCTGGGTAGCTTTCAGGCGTGTAACTTGTTTCGTTGGCGTCGTCTTTCGCGGATTTTGCGTTGCACATGACACTTGTAACGCAGGAAAAAAAGAATTGAACGCCGTTCATTGAAGAAACCACTTGGTCAAGGCGAAGTCGCTTTGAAGCGATCTGATTTCTTGCGATGTCAATGTCTGTTTCACGAACTCTCCAAACAGCACGGCATGCTACCGCTTCCAACTGTTCGGTGATCTAGACGAATTTAATAAATTGACTGCATGAATTGCCGTGAATTCAGCTGCATAACATGCTACTATTGACCACAGGGCCACTACAATGAATTAAGTTTGCTCAATAAACTTACCAATGGCAAAATGTTTGCTCGAAGTGAATCCTCGATCCTTTTCGAGTCCAATTGCTTGCGAGGTCGCGGTGGCATTTTTAAAATGATGATTTAATATACTTTAAAAAACAGCTGTTTCGTAAATCGTCTGTGATTTTTAAGCGTTTGGAAGTATCTACATTTCCATAGCAACGAAGTGGAACAATATATTTTACTTTGGTCATCATCATCATCATCATCATCATCATCATCATCATCATCATCATCATCATCATCATCATCATTATCATCATCATCATCATCATCATTATCATCATCATTATCATCATCATCATCATCATCATCATCATTATCACCATTACCATTACCATCATCATCATCACTATCATCATCAAAAACAACAACAGCGCTAGCATCGCAAGCAGCACCACTGCCATCATTACTACCAGAATTATCTTGGATAAGCTAAGTTTGAACGTCCTGATTTATTTCCCCCTGCTTTGTCAAGCTCTCAACATAAGAAGCGCAATTGTATCTAAGTCTAGGACCTGTATATGAGTTTGTATGCGTTTCATTTAGCACAGGTAATCTCAACTGTTTTAGGGTAAAATGACCATGGCGGTCAACATGGGATATGTGTCAAAACCTGAATCTGGGACGAAAGTCCTGAAAATTACCCCGCCCTGAAACGGCAGTGTCGACATAGCTCTAACTTCAGAAAACAAAAAGCGATAGTCTTTCTGAAGTGCTTATAGTGTTTAGAAGGGTTGCTTTTACGGGTGGTCATTGGAAGGAAAAATTTGTCTAAGTATAATATTTTACAAGAAAATGACCATGCACTACCCCAGGTAAATTGCTAATTATGCATAAAATAACTAATATGCCTGCAGAAATTAAATATTCTTATTTCCTAAAAGAAATTATCATGGGGTGAAAAACTATGCTTAATTTAATATAAATATTGTTGATTTCATGAGGATTGTCATTGTTTTCTTTAAATATAATACATTTTATTTCACTTACCCCCCACGAAAACGGTCAGTATAATCTGCAGACTGCGAACTGCAGACCGGACTGGGTACAAAATGCAGACAGAGGATAAAATGCAGACTGGGGTGAATTAGGGATATTTCACAAATTCCCGCCAAGCCATAGTCACATGATCGTCTTGTTGATAATATTAATGGCATTAATGTTGAAGCTAGTCACTTTCATCAGTTTTGGATGCCAAATGCTTAAGTCTGCTTTTGTTGCAGATCGAGCTTTCAAAAATGCGTGAATATGAGTGGTGTTTTTGAAAACCCACCGATTGCATTAGGATTAGCGTTACGAATAGGAGCATGATTAGGGACTGCTCCCCCCTCCCCCATCCACAAGTGTTGCTTCGCGCCTTATATGAATTTCAATCAGCGATAATTCCTCAAGATTGATGCCTAATATCGATGACCACGACAAAGATCGAGTAAATACGATGAAGGAAAAACTAAAATTATCTGTGTTTTAACATTTTCAACGAGATAATTAATGGTGTTCTAGGGCAGACATTTGTAAAATATTCCTAATTCACCCCCAGTCTGCATTTTATCCTCAGTCTGCATTTTATACCCCCAGTCTGCATTTTGTGCCCAGTCCGGTCTGCAGTCTGCAGATTATACTGACCGTGGGCAAAGCAAATGAGTGGTAATTAATATGTCTTCACAAACCACAAGATACATCGTTGAATATGTGATCTGCACGGTCTCAACAGTTACTACTAAATGGAAACCAGGCTAACTGTAGAGTTTTAAGTCACTTTATATGTTTTTTTTAATTACTAGTATAGGGATTATATATATTTGTATTTTCTCTGTTATTCTTACTTTGTCTCTTATATTATTCAAAAGGCGTTTTGTGTTCTTTGCATTTCTATTTAAATAGTGTTTTTTACATTTTTTAATTATAAAGTAAGTGGGCCGCACAACCTTGTTCACGCCTGTTGATATCAGCCTAGAACAAGTTGTTGATTTTCTCGATTTTTACGCGTGTAGCTTAGACTAATTATCTTTACAACATTTTGTGATATTACTTTCCTAACTATGTTTATCCTAACCCACCCTGTCAACTTTCCCTGTGGGAGGAAACCGGAGCGGCCGTTCAAAACCCATGACACAATAGACTAATGATTGTGAACGAATTGATGTAATCGGTCAGTGAAAAGCCCCAATAGGGAGTGAGCTGAATAATAATATAAAGAAATTAGAGAGCAATCATGTAACTGATATTATATGCAGTGGTGTCAAGTAACGAAGTAAATGTACTTCGTTACTGTACTTGAGTATTATTTTTGAGAAGTCAGCATGTAACAAAGTAAACTTTTTCTGCAGTACTCTTACTTGGAAGTTGGAACGAAGTCGTTTTAAGAAGTAACGTTTTACTTCGTTATTTTCATTTTGTATCGAAGTATTTCGTTACTTTTTAACTTTTGTTTAATTTTACGTGATTTATTCCTGGTTTATTCCTGATTGGGATAGGTAATAAGACCTCTACATGCGTCTGGGATCTCTCGTTTGTGACTTACTTATAGGCATTATTTATTTAATGGATTTCTTATATTTTCAATGGGGTCTGAAAAGTAGATCATGCCGTGAAATATTGTATATTAGGTGCACGCATATAAATGCTTGTGCTGTTTTGTGTCTTTTGTATGTAAATTCATTGGAGAAGTCCCCCCTCCCCTTACACGCTACGGGCAATAGTACTTTTACTTTTACTTTGTACTTCAAGTATTTTTAAGGATACTTTGTACTTAAAATTTTTGCTTGAGTACGTTTTGCCTTCAGTACTTTTTACGTTTTTAATTACTCAAGTAGTTCAGTTTATTGTTAATTACTTCTACTTTTACTCAAGTACAAATTCAAAGTAATTTAGGCACCACTGATTATATGTAACTATGTGATATAGTAGACCTTATGTCTTAATCAATTCCATGGGCTATGTGATATAGTAGACCTTATGTCTTAATCAATTCCCCCCCGGGCATTTGTCGGGCAATTGTCATTTTGGCGAAAAAACCAATGAAAATGCCCCACCATGGGGTCCAAATAATGCAACAAAATCCCCACCCTTAATTGGGGACTTACATTTGATGCAAATGCCCCCACCCTTGGGGACAAAATATACGTTTTCTGAGGATTTTTGAACTAAAATATTGAATGCAGGCTCTATCTCGTATCAATATATCTGTATTGTATTCAAAATCGATTCTGTAGCCATTTCGTTTCAAAACGTTTTTAATTAAAATATTGAAGTCTCAAAACTTGATATTTGAATTTAATAAATTTGAATTTAATAAATTGCCAATATAACTTTCACAAACAAATACAAATAAATAAATTAAAAAAAATAGAATTACATATGGCGAGGAAATCCAAAAAAGAAACCTAAAGGCTTATGAAATCATGGATTTCCTCCCAGAAATGGATTACAGAAAATTATATAAATAAGCAAATGCAAAATGGCAACATAAGTAAGTCAATGTATCGACAGTTTGGACAAGAAAAATGTCTAAAGTGTGTATGTCCGCCATCAGTTATAAATTCGAAACAAGCGACAAATATTCGACTTTTTAGCCCTGAGCAAATTCCCCACCCCGGGGCTAACCTCCAGAAAGCAAATGCCCAACCCTGGGAAAAATTGGGGGGTGGGCACCCATGGAATTGATTGAGACATTAATTGCAATGAAATTTATTTCATTGGAATTGAAATTTATTTCATTGAATAGTATTGTAATAACTAGAAAATAGTATTGTAACCATCTCGACGACCTTTTCATCGTGATGTTCGTGATGTTACTCTGGGTGTATATCCACAGCGGGCAAGCTTGAAAAATATGCCTGGCCATGGGAATCGAACCTACGACTTTTGGAATACTAGCCCAATGCTCTGCGAACTGAGCTACGCGGTCAGGTCGGTTCGAGTATGTGATATTTCGGAACTGAGCCTAGTTCCTTCGATATCAATATATACACTCACAGTAACATCACAAGCATCAATTCATTCACCTGAGTACATTACACCAGCACAGAAGAAAGACCTTTTCATCGCTGGACATTTCCACAATCATACATTTATAGATGTATTTATCAAATATAGGGTATATAGGATATTAGATCTATTATATTTCAATTTATTTGTAATTCTTTGAATCTCTTTTAGTACTTTGTTTGGAATAAATTATTATTATGTAATAATATGCAAATACATGATATTGATGATTTATTTGCCCGGAAAATGCCGAATACATGACAACTATACACATATGAAAAATGATCTTTTCACTCTGACCAGTCTGATGTAGTAAAGGTTGACCGCTTTGCTGAAAAAAATAGGTACGCATTGCGTACATGTTGCATGCCATCAAAACCATGAAATCTTATGATGCGCTATCGCTTATAACTTTTGGTACAACTGGCCTGAAACTTTAAATATTCATTCAATAAGTTTGATATCAATATATTTATTGAAAAATAGCTATTATGTCAAAATAAGAAATCTTAAGATTCTCACGCGAATAGGCAATGTTTGAGCGACTGTTCATCCTTAGTTGCAAGCGACAGTAATTACAAGGTCAAGGTTTTATCGAAAGCAATTGACTGTTATATTTCCTTTACTAATTTATTTATAACTAGCTAAACAGGACGCCAGCTCAGGCATTCACACTGGCCTCAAAATGGCAACATTCATGGTAGGGTGGCTAGCCCTGTATTGTAATTATGATCGAAAATTAATGTAATTAGCTATTTTGGTATTTATAAAATTACAAAAAAAAATATAAACAGTAAGGGCCACTCAACGATAGCTCCATCCTCGTAGCCAGTAGCCTACAAACTCATAGCAACCTCCGCAGGCATCTCTTAATTGTCGAGAACTTATATAATAGTTATTCAAATAACTGATGTTTTTCTGATTGGGTCAGAAAAACATCGGTTATTTGAATAACTATTATAAAAGTTCTCGACGATTAAGAGATGCCTGTGGAGGAGGCTATAGCCTACGGTGTAGACCCCAGCAGAATAAGAAACGAAACCTACGTGTTTCTGCTGGGGTCTACAACGTAGGCTATACGTACCCAGGGTCTTTGCGATGGCTCTGGGTACGAGATTGCATATATTACGAGATTGCATATATTAGTGAAAAGTGGAATGGACCGAAGGCCTGCGGAGGAGGCAGAGTCTGACCAGGTGTTGTAAATTAGTAGCTTATAGATTAAGTATAGAATACATTATAGTAAAAATTTATATATGCATGCCAATAATGTTATGATCAAAAAATATATAAGTAAGCTGGAACATTTCAATAACAGGAAATACGAACGTTAAACAAAAACAGGAACTTTTAGCATTTTAGTAAATAAGACGGAATGTGCGTACGCAACTCGCAAAGGAAGTTTGTGGGGTCAACCAAGCGAGGAACATGTGCATAATGTGCGTCACACGTTGAACTTCCTCTGGGAAAAAGTTCCTACAGTATGAAAAGTAAGAGAGTATAAATACGAGTGAGATTGTCAAAGAAAGGGTTGAGTTGTGAATGTGTTGGAATGAATTGTGAAAGAGTGCGAAAGTTTGTGTGAGAAATTGTAGAGTGTTTGTATATCGATAGCAGTGATCAGTCATATGTAACGAATGATAAAAGAATAAAATTTGTGAAAACCGAAAGCATACAGTCCCATTATATTCGAGAACCAGCAAAGGAATAAATCTCACGGGGAGAGTTTATAACACCAGGGTCTGACGCAATCTGATAGAACGCGCTGGAAGACCGAACTAGTTCAAACTGGATCAGTTAATTTTGGTAGACAAGTTGGTTGTAGAAGGTTCGCTTCTCGGATCTTTTGTTAAATTGCGTATTTAGCTGTCAACTTTTCCGTCGATACCATTTTGTGACTTTCAAAGTCAAGGATGTTTGTTCTGGTGAGTTTTTTACATTTTATTTTGACATATTTTTTTCTTTTATAGCGGTCTAACAAAATCGTATTTGATTCATGTTTAATGCCGTTGTACTTGCTGTATTAGTTTGCTTGGCTCTTCGACACAAGTATCGATCGATATATTTATTATGTGCTATATTCAATCTATCGTGATGAAGGTCAAGGCTATGGAAAACGCCCAGAAAATTCCATGGCTGAAGCTTTAGGAATTTAAATAATTCGTGTTTTTACGTTTACAAATCTTGTACAGAACGTTGCACATTTTAAAGCTGGCCACAAATACAGATTCTACTTATTTCGCTATTTGAAATTATTTTAGTTTAGCAGAGAACTTTTACTGTTATGTTCTAACGTTTTTGCGTCATTGACATATATAGTAGAGTCACAAGACTCTCAATGACGTTTAATATTTTATCTTCGTTATTAAAAAACAATGTTAAGGTCCACACAGACCGAACGCGATTCAACAACGCGACGCAAATTTTCAGTTTTTAAAAACAAATAAAACCGTCAACGGATAAAAATTTTACAAGATATGCAGACCAAAAAAAGTAGAAAAATAGTAAAGTTAAAGGTCATTGAAAATTGAAAATTCGCGTCGCGTTACCAACAAGTTAAACCGTTAAACCTATTGCTTTGTTTTGCAATATTAGGGCCATTTATACGAGCGAAAATAAGCCGCGGCTTAAATAATTCGCGAACGACTCGTATAAACAGTCAATTTGCAATAAGCCGCGGCAAATTTAAGGTCTATACAGACCGGACGCGATTTGGCAACGCGACGCGAATTTTCAGTTTTCAATGACATTTAACTTTAATATTTTTCAGTGTTTTTCAAATATTCGGGACCACTTGAGCAATTTTAGCTATTTGGTCTGCATATCTTGTAAAATTTTTACCCGTTGACGGTTTTATTTGTTTTTGAAAACTGAAAATTCGCGTCGCGTTGCCGAATCGCGTCCGGTCTGTGTGGGCCTTCAGGCCTAGCTTTCAAGCCTGGGCTATATTTTAGCCGCGGCTTGCCAACAAATTGACTGTTTATACGAGTTGTTCGCGACTTATTTAAGCCGTGGCTTATTTAGGCCGCGACTTATTTTCGCTCGTATAAATGGCCCTGTTGTGCTTCATATATAGGCTAACACTAAAACTTTATAAAATGTTTTAGATATAGTAAATATATAGAAGGGAGGTAAAATGTATAAGGTTAGTTGGACTTATAGGGGAAATATGACGTTTTAATTACTACATATTTAGTCCTAAAATGGGCCCTGGGAAATTTATTATAACAACTTTCCAATTTGCCGTATAGAGGGAAGGTTGTATCCCATTACTCATTAGCCTTCGATAGGTGCAGGGCAGTGTAAAATATTGTATGGCACATTTGGCTTTATCATACCTTAAATTTCTAATATTTTGACCACAGGAATTATGAAATAAAAATCTTTATTTTTTCTATTTTTATAGGGAGTGATCTTTTTACTGTCATGTTCTATGTCTCAGTCCATGCCGTGTGATCTTACAAAGGAACACCCTGTGATAGACAAGACGTCTAACAAAACTTTGGGTTGTATGAAATGTAGAACTTGTAAATCAGGAAAGGAACTAAAGATACCATGTGGTACACCTGTTGGCAGGTTTGAGCAGGTTGGAGATTGCAGACCGTGCAAGAATGGAACGTACTCTGCAACAGAAGACTCAAGGGAGTGTCAAGTTTGTCGTAGTGAAAAGTGTTTCAAACATCAAGTCATTAAGGGGACATGTCTTACTAATCGGAGAGATGAGACGTATTGCATTGACAAATGTGACAATGGCTATGTAATGAACAAGGAGGGAACTGCTTGTGAAGTCTTGACACCACAGCAGAACACACCAGAGAAGCCTACAACAAGCAATCCTACAACAAGTAACCCGACAGCAAACCCTACAAGAAACAACCTTACAACAAGCAACCCTACAACAAGCAACCCTACAACAAGCAATCCTACAACAAGCAATCTTACAACAAGTAACCCGACAGCAAACTCTATACAACAAGCAACCCGAAACAAGCAACCCCCGACAACAAGTAACCCGACAACAAGCAACCCCCTACAACAAGCAACCCGACAACAAGCATGACACTCGCAGAGCAGTCGAACATTTGTTAGTATAGATAACTATCAGCCTTTATTTTATTACATAATTGGTTTAATATGACAAGTGTATATCATGACACACAAACCAGTAGTAATCACCCGTTCACGTTGTTTAGAGTTCTTTCATTTATAGAAACAGTCTTTCTGACTGATCCTGACTGGGGGACGGGACGTGAATTTTTTTCTTGAACAAAGACAAAGTCAAAAGGTCGAAACTCGAAAGCCTGTTAAAGAACATAGTTTATAATAAACATGAACATAGTTTTCCACAATTCATGTTTAATAAAAGTTTCTTTTCCAACGTTTTGAAATATACAGCGGGTTATAAAAACCCAGGGCAGGTTTAACGCTCGCCTTTGAACAACCGGTATTCGGTAATAAAGTTTTCATAAAATTCTGCCTACTAAAATTTTCTTTCTTAAAAGGGGTATTGGTAAAACTTGTTATTGTAATGTACCTTGCAACGGTCTTTCTCAAAATAAAGAGAAAAAATAAAGACATTTGCTAGAAATTTCCAACAAAAGCTTTTCCATATATACATCATTTCGACTTTTCGCCGCCACTACACTAGAGACTTCTAAAATACGTCATACAAGGGCAAGCCCTTTCTGATGTACGTCATGCCCGGCTTTTGTCTGGTCAAAAACAATCTAGAATTCAACGTTGCTATAGCAGTATTTCAGTATTTCTTGCGGCTGAAACCACAAAGTTTCACTCGTCATGATGAGTCTAATATATGCATCACTTTTATATTGGTGAGTATTTAAAATTTACTGGTTTCTCAACCAGTTGCCACGTACCAGCCCACGTAAGGTACGTATTAAAGAAATTCTTGCACGATAATAGAGCTCTATTTACTTGCTGTATTGCCTGTTTTAATACTTCTCAAAAGACATTTTCTGTGTTGATGCAATGTACTCAGGTGAATAAGATGCTTGTGATGTTACTCTGAGTGTATATCCACACCGGGCAAGCTTGGAAAATATGCCTGACCACGGTGGGATTCGAACCTACGACCTTTGGAATACTAGCGCCCAATGCTCTACCAACTGAGCTACGCGGTCTGGTCGGTTCGAGTATATGATATTTCGGAACAGAATCTAGTTCCTTCGATATCAATGTAATCTAGTAATAATGACATTTTCTGTGTTGGTGCAATGTACTCAGGTGAATAAGATGCTTGTGATGTTACTCTGAGTGTATATCCACACCGGGCAAGCTTGGAAAATATGCCTGACCACGGTGGGATTCGAACCTACGACCTTTGGAATACTAGCCCATTGCACCAACACAGAAAATGTCATTATTACTAGATTACATTGATACCGAAGGAACTAGATTTTGTTCCGAAATATCACATACTCGAACCGACCAGACCGCGTAGCTCAGTTGGTAGAGCATTGGGCTAGTATTCCAAAGGTCGTAGGTTCGAATCCCACCGTGATCAGGCATATTTTCCAAGCTTGCCCGGTGTGGATATACACTCAGAGTAACATCACAAGTATCAACTTCTCAAAAGATTAAGTGTTCTTCGATATAGTGTGATTTATTTGTACTTCGACTGAAAAGGGAGCAAAAAAAACTTTGGCTTTGATTTATAAAACTCTCGTAATTCGTAAAATACCATGAATATTTTTTGCTTATTATTGCTCATGATAACAGTTTTCTTTTGCTATTATTTCTCATGATAATAGTTTTCAGTTTTTGTTGCATGCCATATATGGCATGCAACTTTCATATAGCTCTAAATTTCGTGTCGCGGTGCATGAGCGGTGATGAGCGTACCAGTCACGTGGCAGATTCGTTAAAAGACGACTAATACCGAGTTTTTCCGACGAGCATTTTTGTGCCGGGTTCAAGTTCGTCGAGGAAACGCAAAGAAATATTGATTATTTGCCGAAAATTCACATAATTGAGCGCCTTAGAAAAATAAATCGAGGTAGGTAAAGCTTTACTATTTTTAACTTACCTTATAGGCCGTTTGCCGTGACCCGATATCGTTCACTTTCATTAAGCATGTCGTGGAACTGAAATATTTTCACGGTAACTAACATTTTCGAACACGCTGAATTCAAAGTTGCCGCTCCGTAGACCCGCAGTTTTTTCACAAATTGCATTTGTATTTTCAGTTTTTCGACGAACAAAAATAAACACGCGCCATTTTGAAATTAAAAAACATCACTCAGAGTATGCCGTTTTTGCTCCCCAGTCTCCAATGCTTATGACCGAGTAACCGAGTTTAAGATTTAGAGCAATGTTATTAAATTTGCTGCAAAACAAACACAGTCACGTGGTTTTAAAAATGGCTAGTCTGAGTGATTTTCAGTTTATTTGCTAGTAAAATCGCTAAAGAATGAGAAATAAAAGTTTAAATTATTTATTTGGCAGAGAAAAGCAATAAGGTAGGTGTTCTCTGTGTATATTTTTTGAGTTTGTTTAAGGCTAAAATGGCCTATACAAGAACAAACAAGTGATTAAGTGAACAACCATCACGATTTATTCAGGTTAGCTCTCAGACAAATGTAAGGAAAGGATTAATTAAGGCCATTTGCTTGAGGACTCACAGTAAAATTGTTTCATATCAAGTTTGCTGTTTATGGGAATTATTACATTGATTTATCACCCCATGAAATGTCAAGATGGCCAACAAAACCATGAACATGTGCATAGTATAAATGATTATTATATCGATCTGCATAACCTGCTGCTGACTTATGCATCAGTCAAATCCAAGCGTGCCCATCCCCACCGGGCTACCCCGGGGCATTTTCCTATAAAGCACGTCCAGGGTGTTGGGCTTATGAACTCAAACCTTTGCCCGGGGGCGGGGCATTTGAAATTAAGAATTTGGATTACTTTATACGTGCCCAAAATACCCTGTTATGTTTTGTGGTATTCTGATAAATGTATGTGCACTATAGGCGCTAGAGCATGACGAAAACACGCTAGAGTATGATGCACAATGCTTGGTAGCCTGCAACGCAGGCGAAATACTTGGGCGATATACTTGGCCGATCGAAGAAAGTATTCTCTTTTATATTTTCAGGTAATTGGATAATCTGCTCTTCTTAGCAAAGCAGTCCAGCTGTCCCCGGGGTGGGGGATTTGCTACTGATTTTTTGCCCCACTGCCGGGCATTTTCACATTTTTTTTATTCCCGTCCCCGGGAATTTGTTGCATATTTTCAAAAATTGTCAAAAGCCTGGGGGTTTGCCCGGGGGGGGGGGATGGGAAGGCTTGGATTTGACTGATACATTATTTATTCCATGCTTTATTGCATCTTCAAGATTTAGACTGTGCTAGAATATATACACACAAGAATATGTAATAGGATATACAAATAAGATTCTGCATTCATGAATAGATTAGGTCTAAACTTGTATTAAATATTTTTATCCATAAGTGGCTTTCCCCATGCAGGGCAGAGTACAAAAATCTGAGCGTGGCCTGTCATTGATCACATTTAGCTCAACTGCATAGTAGAGCACCAGGTTAGTGACCTGGGTGTTTAACCTATTGCATAAGCACTAGCACTTTTCTCCTATTTTTCCTTATTTCTAACAGGTTATAAAACAAAACAAACAACTTGTTTACTGTCAAGCTGGAAAAAACCCAGCATAACAACACATAAAGTATTACTTTGTCAAATTGGGCAACAAAACATTAATGGTGTTGAATATATTTTGAACTTGCAGCTTTGCTTCCACCTATAGCTACAATCATGGCAAAAATTCTGTTGACACTTATAAGTGTGAACGATTAAAGTATTACTGTTCACATACACATGTTGGCATCATCATCTCCATTCAGTCACAGAGCTTTCACCTAACTGATCTAGAAGCTTTTCAACGGTTAAAAAATGCTGTTTTTGCATGTATGTTTGGGCAAGGGTATTTGCATTTTTTTGCACACTGTCCACAATAATTTTATCCAGGATTGTAGGTAGATATTCTAATTTAGGGGCTGCTTATACGAGTGGCTACTGTAGATCTCAAAACCAGGCTGATCTGTCAGCCAAACATCTTTCCTTGTAATTGAATTCCAAGTTTAGACCCAATCTATTCATGCAGAATCTTATTTGTATATCCTATTACATTTTCTTGTGTGTATATATTCTAGCACAGTCTAAATCTTGACGATGCAGTAAAGCATGGAATAAATAAGTCAGCATGCAGCAGGTTATGCAAATATAATAATCATTTATACTATGCAAATGTTGATGATTTTGTTGGCTTTCTTGACATTTCTTGGGGTGATAAATCAATATTTGAATAACAGTTCCTATAAATTCCTTTACACCTTATGACCAACTATAATTCCCATAAACAGCAAACTTGATATGGAACAATTTTACTGTGAGTTTTCAAGCAGACTGGCCTTAATCTGTTCCTTATATGTGTCTGCATGAGAGCTAACCTGAATAAATCGTGATGGTTGTTCACTTAATCACTTGTTTGTTCTTGTATAGGCCATTTATGCACCTATCAATGTTTTCCCCCTGAGGGGGGGGGGGGGGGCGGGCAACCCACGGGAATTTTGACATTTTTCAAATTTTGTTGTCAAAATCCCCACTGTTGGGCAAGGAATGGCTGTCAAAATTCCCCACTATATTCCTAAGATAACAAGGCACACACATGTTTTCCAATGCGAACATACAGTCTATACTGGTTTAAACTTGGTAAAAATTGAGACACTGTGTATAAAAGGCTATAAAATACCTTTTTCGATGAAACTTGATCGTGCTTCTCCGCCATACTTGTTACCAGGCCTTTCAATGTCAAAACCGCGCAAACTTTCAAGATGGCGGATGTCAAAATTTCCCGACTATGGGAGTTGATGCATAGGTCAAATTCCCCTCACTAGGGCTTCATAGTGTGGTCAAAGTCCCCTGGGTCGCCCGCACCCCCCCGTCAGGGGGAAAACAATGATAGGTGCATTAGCCTTAAACAAACTCAAAAAATATACACAGAGAACACCTACCTTATTGCTTTTCTCTGCCAAATAAATAATTTAAACTTTATTTCTCATTCTTTAGCGATTTTGCTGGCAAATAAACTGAAAATCACTCAGACTAGCCATTTTTAAAACCACGTGACTGTGTTTGTTTTGCAGGAAATTTAATAACATTGCTCTAAATCTTAAACTCGGTCACTCGGTCATGAGCATCGGAGACTGGGGAGCAAAAACGGCATACTCTGAATGATGTTATTTAATTTCAAAATGGCGCGTATTTATTTTTGTTCGTCGAAGAACTGAAAATACAAATGCAATTTGTGAAAAAACTGCGGGTCTACGGAGCGGCAACTTTTCGGATTTGAATTCAGCGTGTTCGAAAATGTTAGTTACCGTGAAAATATTTCAGTTCCACGACATGCTTAATGAAAATCGTTTTCTAGGCATATTTTTAGGTCACGGCAAACCATAGCTGCCCAAAAGTGCGTGTTGAAATTTTTACCCTCGCGCGTGGCGCTCGGGCATTCATCGAGTCTACTCAGTTTATTATTATGACATTGTCATAATAATAAACTGAGTAGACTCGATGAATGCCCGAGCGCCACGCGCGAGGGTAAAAATTTCAACACGCACTTTTGGGCAGCCTATGGGCAAACGGCCTTTTTGGAGCCGTTGTGCTCGCACTGATTATTTATCAATTGACAATTATCAGGCGTTTATATTTATATATCGTGAAAGCCTCAAAGCCCACGCTTTCAAAACACTCGATTTTTATATACTCAAACTGAAACGGAGCCATTGTGCTCGCACTGAATATATTCTGTGCGAAGCTTCAAAACTACAGCACATTTTGTATAATTTTAAATATAAATATCAAACAAAATTTGAATTATAAATAGTATTGAAATTTAAAGGACATTGGCAACGAAAATTTTTATTGGCTATTTCAATCCTACTTGACAACCGAACTATGAAAATATTATCATTTCCTTCTTGAACATTTTAGTCTACGAGTAAAATGCATCACTGCAAACTTTGTGTTTCGGCCAGTTTCGCCGCCATCTTGGAAAATATTTTTGAAAAATTATCTCGAAGGTCAATGAACTTTGTGACGTCATTGGCTGGGTAGCACCAAAACTACAAGAGAGAATTCTATTGCGTGCGCGTTATGTTAGCTAAAAATATGTCGTTTTGAGCGTTATACTGGCCAACACTCTTCGCAATCAAACAAGAGAAGTTTACACTATCAGATAAAAACATATCGAGCGACTGGGAAAGCAATAAATGGCGCAATTTACAATGCAGGTAATTGACCATAAAATATTGCATTAGTATTTGCCTTGTTACACTCGAATTTCTGCGCTTATTTAACACGGAGTAGGATATATACCATGAGCAATAGTGTTACAAACAAGTTACATACTTGGCAAAACTTTTCTGCCTTTTGTTTTGGCTCAAAATGCATTACGCGTGGTAATACACGTATTGTTTATAGTCATGAGATTGTGTTTACCCAGCCAATGACGTCAGATAATGTATTTTGTGGCATAAATTAGCATACGCGCTTATTTTCAAAATGGCGGACAACTGTTCAAATTTTCTCAAATTCAATCAAATTTTCTCAGCAACTAAACGCGACAAACCGGCCAAAGTGTGAAATTAAATATTCCGTAAGTATACCTAATAGATATAAGTAATAAAAATTTTGGTTGCCAATGTCCTTTAAATTTAAAACAACGAAATAGCAACCATTGTGAAGTACGCATAAGATTCAACATGACATTCAGCATGACATTCGATATAGTGTAAATTAACTCATTTCAATCACTCAAACAAACATACAGGTCATATTAGCTGACTAGTACCTTTATGCTTTTTCTACTTCGACAATTTCAATCATAGTTTAATTAATAATCATTTTCAATCTGTTATAGTAATTCACCGTTTCCACGTTTTTTTATACCTTTAAAAAGTTACAATAAAGCTAAATCTATAGGAAATAACGTTATTTAGTTATAAATTTGTAAAGGAAATCTAGCAGTCAATCGCTTTCGATAAAACCTTGACCGACCTTGACCTCGTTATTACCGTCGCTTGCAACTAACGATGAACGGTCGCTCATAAAAAACATTGCCTATCGTGTGAGAATCTTAAGTTTCTTATTTTGAAATAAAAGCTAGTTTTTCAATAACATAACATAACATAACAGCTATTTTTCAATATTATTGCAGTCAATTTCAGCTGACTTTTCATCGTAAGATTCCGAACTTCGTTCCAAACTTCGCAAATTCGTTGCGAAGTTCAAAAGTTCATAATGAAATTCACAAACAGGTTTGTAAACAAAGCCTCTGATTGGCTATTAAATCAAACCAGCCAATGAAATGCCCAGTTTACAAACCTGTTTGTGAATTTCATTATGAACTTTTGAACTTGGCAACGAATTTGTGAAGTTCGGAACGAAGTTCGGAATCTTACGATGAAAAGTCAGCTGAAATTGACTGTAAACTTGTTGATTCAATATTTTAAGATTCACGCCAGTTGTACCAAAGGTTATAAGCGCTATATCTTCGTCATAAGTTTCAGAAGGCATGCAACATGTACGCACTGCGTACCTATTTTTTACCAATGTCAGGCTTTGTTACTTTAGTAAATTTAGGGAAGCGAGCTATATTATTGCCTTTTTAGGAATTCGAACGTTGCATGTATGCATAAATTAGAATGCTTGGACATGCTGCAACGCACGCTAATGGCTTTGAAATATTTGCTTTTAACGTTACGCAAAATAGTCACTTGTCTTGTCAGCATAAAAAAATTCCTCAAGATATGACGCCGGTTTATAAATTACCTTTGTCTTATAATTTATAAGTATGATACAAAATTAACTATTCTCACAATTTCATCTTTAAATTGTCAGTTTTATTAACCTTGTATATAGAAACAATCTAATATTCCTTATACTAGGTAAAGTTGAGAAGAACTTGCCAAGCACTGATAGAACTATTGTTGGACAAAACTGAGGCAGGAAAGAAAGAAGAGACTCTAAAGTTTGGCGAGGAAGGTATTAGGGCCATTTATACGAGACAAAATAAGACGCGACTTACATAAGACGCGACTTAAATAAGACGCGAGTTTGTCGTATAAAAGACACAAAATTCTTATGTAAGACGCGTCTTGGATAAGACGCGTCTTACATAAGAACAGGACTTTTAGCTGTTCTTATTTAAGTCGCGTCTTAAATAAGATATTTTAGACAAAAATTCTAACTACACATGTCCGAAACTTGAAACAACGTAAAATTATTAGTCTTGCATATTAAAACAAAAACAACCGAAACAACATTATAGCTATCGCAAGTAAATAAGAATAAAGCCGTAGAGAACCATTTATGCGATAACTCCACTTATTTAAGTCGCATCTTATGTAAGTCGCGTCTTATTTTGTCTCGTATAAATGGCCCTATTGTGTCTTAATTTTGCAGTTTCTCTATTTGAACAAAAAAGTATGTAAGTCTTGCAGTTATAGTAAAACCACTAATTCTGTTTTGTGATTGGCGCGGTTTAATCAAAGAATCTTCCCGTTGAACCAGAGCCTTCACGACGTTTCAATTTATTATTTACTGAGGGCTCTGGGATCCAGGGTAAAGTTCGATGGAAAACATTGGAAACGAGTGAAAAACCATTAGATGACGTAATTGGGGAATTCCCTTTTCATGCGCCCTTATCAATTATCACTGTGTCACTGCCCCAATCACTCCCCCGTCATTTCAGCAAATAGTATTACGTTCTCCAGCGAAGGGTGTATCTCATTTAAAGTCTTGTTTAATTAAGCGTTTATATTAAACTCAACCGCTCGATGGATTGCTCTTTATCCAATTCAAAATCGAAGATGTTTACCGGTATATCGGTAAGTTTTTTTGTTTGTTTTATTTTGGTTTATATATTGTTTTATAGCGGTCAAATATGCCGCTGTATCATGTGTGTTTATCATTTATACTGTCTTGAAGTCGGCTTCCATGTACGGTGTTTTATATATTAAACACGCACTTTATAAATGTCACTGTACTCACTGAATTAGTCTATATGGCTCCTAAACATAAATATATCAGTATATGTGGATATTGTATGTTATATTCGTTTATTCTTGATCTTTCGTGATACGCCTATTCGAGCGTTCGTAATATAACCGATATTTGGCTGTCATCCAACTATATTTTGAAATATTTAATCCAATATTTTTTCACAAAAGAATATTTTAAAACGCTTTATTTCAGATATATTACAGTAAAAGCTATAGCTTTGAGATAGTTCAGTTGTTGTTTTGTGGAATTTTGATCTTTTGGCGATGTCTCAATTAATGTTAAAGTGCCCCTGACACAAAAAAATGTTTTTCAGTCTGTTAAAAGTACTCATTTAGTATAGTGTTTTAGTGAAAGAATTTTTCAATTTCATCAAAACGAAAACATTTTAGAGCCGTTTGAATCCTACCCTGGATTCCAGAGCCTTCGACAGTAAATAATAAATTGAAATGTCGCGAAGGCTCTGGTTCAACGGGGCGATTCTTTGATTAAGCCGCGCCAATCACAAAACAGAATTAGTGGTTTTAGTACAGATTCTGTACTAAAACCACTAATTCTGTTTTGTGATTGGCGCGGCTTAATCAAAGAATCGCCCCGTTGAACCAGAGCCTTCGCGACACTTCAATTTATTATTTACTGTCGAAGGCTCTGGAATCCAGGGTATTTGAATCCAAATATTTTTGGCTAATGGACGTCGGCGACAGAAGTCTGGCACTAGCATTTATTTTGACGTCACGCAAGTGAGTCGAGTCTTGATGGTCTGTCATGTTATCTGTTTTAATCGGCTCAAGGTTTTGATCGCTGAAGTGTTTAATTTTTTATATTCTAAGTTCTATAAAGTATCATGTCGACAACAGAATCAACAGAATCTGTCCGATGATTCCGGAGCGAATTTTATACCTGGTTAATATGTTGTAATCATGTAATGGAAGATGCTGATCTGTAGCATCTCGACAGGTCTCTTGTAGTATCATTAATATTACCAAATCTGTGACGCGGACGTGACGAAAAACTGCCGCTGTTATCACAGTTTCACTTCACGGATAAAAACTGTTGTTGGTAAACAAAGTCAGGGACACGAGAAAAACAAAGTAAAACTAGTCTCTCATTTATATTAGCGATTGTTTATTAGTCGCGCCGTGTCTCAGATTTGGCGCATCTTATATAACGTAGATCGTGGACGTTCTATGACTTTGCAAGGTTCATATCTCCGGTTCGGTGCATGCTATGAAGACAAAATTACTACCATTCGATATTTCGATTCCGAGTGAAACAAAATCTCCTTATTTCTAATGATAGTTTTAGTCAAATATAGTTTTAGTCAAAATATAGATAGTTTTAGTCAAATATAGTTTTAGTTGTTTTTTTTTATTAAAAAACAGTCGTTGACACCAACACACCACCTTGGATAGACCGGGATGTTAAACACATGATTAATAAGAAATACACATGCAGCTCGGAAGGACGAAAACGCAAACTCCGTCAGTTGACACAGGAAACTAAGGACTTGATCAAACAAAAACGCCATCAATACATAGAAAAAGTTCAAGATTCCCTCGCAAAATCACCTAAGTTATTCTGGTCCTACCACAAACATATCCTCCGCAATAGAAATTCCCCACCTGCAAACACGTACAACAACTCAACTGCAACAACACCACACAAAAAAGCAGAACTTTTCAACGCATTCTTCGCCTCTGTTTTTCTTCCGAAGTCATCTTCCCAAGATGCAAACCTGAACATGACACCGAAAACTGAAGAAATAATGTCTGATATTCAGATCTCGCAGAATGAAGTCGAGCAGTCCCTTAACCATTTGAACACAGCAAAGGCTTATGGCCCAGACGGAACACCACCACGTCTACTGAAAGAATTCTCAAGAGAAATCTCGACAAGCCTCTGCAGTTTGTTCAACATGTCCTTAACAACAGGCCGCCTACCTATGGAATGGAAACATGCGAACGTTATACCCATCCACAAAAAAGACTGTGTCGAACCCGTGACCAACTACCGTCCCATTTCCCTTCTGCCAATAATTTCCAAAGTTCTCGAAAGATGCGTTTTCAATAACATTTACCCCTTTGTTCGTGTACTGATCAATAATGTCCAACATGGCTTCTTAAGAAGTCGTTCATGTATAACCCAGCTTCTAGGTATACTACATGACATTGGTAAAAATCTGGATCGAAACAAACAAATCGATGTGCTATACCTAGATTTCTCGAAAGCGTTCGACTCTGTAGATCATGACATCCTACTTCACAAACTACAAATGCATGGCATAAACGGAACGCTTTTACGATGGTTCGAAAACTACTTGAACGATAGATGGCAGCGAGTTGTCATTGATGGTGCAGCCTCTGCATGGTCTCCTGTAACATCAGGTGTACCGCATGGCAACATTCTGGGACCGTTGCTCTTTGTCATATTCATAAATGATCTTCCCGATAACGTTTCACCCAGTACGAACTCAGCACTGTATGCAGATGATTCAAAGTTATACAGAGAAATAAAATCGGTAGAAGATTGCCAGTTCCTGCAAGACGACCTTGCCAAACTGGAAAAGTGGAGCACTGATTCAAAAATGCGATTTAACACTGAAAAGTGCAAAGTGCTGACAATATCAAGAAAGCAACACCCAACGCGATTTCCATATCACATATATGGTAATGAATTATCTCCTTGTCACGTCGAGAAAGATCTTGGTATGCTCGTGACCAGCAATTTGAAATGGGGCCCACACATATTCAAGATGGTGGCGAAGGCAAATAAAATGCTTGGTATCCTCAAACGCTCATGCTTTGACATTAACCACACCCAGGTCAGACGGACCTTATACCTAACGCTAGTTAAATCTCAACTTGTTTATGGAAGCGAGTTATGGTGCCCTCCTAACAACAGCCACTTATCAAAAAAAATCGAAGGAGTTCAAAGAAGAGTAACGCTGTGGATACTAAAGAAGAAATGCGGAGAACTAAGTTACAAACAGCGCTTAATGCAACTTAATTTAATTCCGCTTGTACACGACAGAGAATAGAAGGACTTGATATTTTTCTATAAATGCATATACGGTCTCACAGATTTTGACATATCGCAGTATGTTGAAGTTACAATGGGAAGAACACGCGCGGCCACTTCTGGTCTTCTGAGAGCATGCAAAACAAGTACATTTCAAAGTTCGTATTGTGTTAGAATTGTTAAACTGTGGAACTATGTTTGTACGTCTGCTCCTTCGTATTGTTATGTCACTGTCTCCTGTTTTAAGTCATACTTGCGCAAGACTTACATCCACCTCACTAGTACTTCCTACACTCCTGACTTACCTAGTTCACACTCACTTATCACGACTCAATAAAAATATCTAACATGCATTTCTCTCTTTGTCTTTTTATTCTTTCTGCCTTTTCATTCTCTTAGTCTTTTCATTTAATCTTCCTTGTCTTTGTTTCTTGTCTTTGTTTGTTGTCTGGTGGTGAGCACCTTGCATGGGACATAGTCTCGTTTGTGTTTGGCCACTTTTGGCACTTTCCTCGTCTTCTTGTACAATGTAATTGTCCGTTTAAGTTATGTAAATATTCAGTTTTTTATGTGCCAAGTTAAAGTTGTTAAATTAAAAAAGTCAAATTGTAGTCAAATGGCTATTTATGACCTTTGAGAGGTCAAGCGGTGTCATAATTCATTATATTACTCAATCAGTCTCGAACAACGGTAAAGTAGACATACTTTTAATTAGCCGACCATAACTTCGGCTCCTTTGGACATATCTTTTTCGTAATAGTCTTATTCGAACCGGAATCCAAAACACTATTTAGAGTCATATTTTCAAGCTTGTGTCTTCAGATTTGCATCTTTTATTTCGCCGCAAAACCGAAATACAATTGCAAATTGAATCATCAAAACAAAGCAAATCATCGTCAGACGTCAGTCTTTATTAGCTTCGGACAGTTAGGCTTGCCGAGCCCCACCAGCCCCGGCAACGAAAAAAATTGCCTCTCGTAATCCTCTGTTCTACAATGATCCGCGCATATAGTCGAAGTCTTTGACGGCACAAACAAACGCTTTGCGCATACAAAATCAACCCTTACTTTTCTTTGTCTTTTAGCTTCGCGTGTTCGTCATTGAAGTATGGAATATTGTGTAGACTTATATATTCCATCTTTTAAACATGCTTTATTGGTACAGTTAGCTGCAACATAGTAAAAAGGCATATCTTTTTCGATCACAAATCTACCTATATATCCGCCAAGAGTTAATACAGTACTAGTATAGTCGAATAATAGAATATACGCCGACTCACTTGCGTGACGTAACAAAAATCGCTCGTTCCAGTTTCCTTCGAACACGGACGCCTGCCAACCAAAAGCCCAAATTTTGCGTGTTCAAACGGCTCTAAAATTTTTTCGTTTTGATGAAATCGAAAAATTCTTTCGCTAGAACACTTTACTAAATGAGTACTTTCAATAGACTGAAAAAAGTTTTGTGTCAGGGGCACTTTGACATTGTTGTATTAAATTTTTTATCTGATTCGACGTGAAATACAACGTATAAAAGCTGTCGTCTTCTTTTGTATTAAATACTGAACGTTCTATATGACACAAAAACGATATGAAATACTTTAGTTAAACTAAAAGTACTGGCTAGTACCTTTAATTTTCTGAATAGCTGAATAT